CTATTGTTCAAGTGAAAGACAGCGCCCTCTGCAGTGGCTCAGGGTCACATGAAGATTGAAGTGAATGAACAAGTGACCTTTGAAAAAGATCAAAGCCGCACAGGTTACATACGTCTACCTGTTTAACTCTTTCATCTTCATGCAGCTCCGGGAGTCACGACCCGAGCCTGTTTATCTAGCCAGCCCACTGCTGGACACCTGAGAGATGCACCTGCATACTTTATTTAACAGAAATGAACAAAAACCCAACTAACTGAGGTGCTATTAAACAGGTTTAGAACATAATGCACCTGTTGGAAACACTCTCAAATATAAAGGTTCTATATTGGTTCCATGAAGAACCTTTAAACTTTCCGTTCCACAAAAGGTTCTTTATATAGTGGAAAAAGGTTCTTGAGATTATTAAGAAGTTCTAAAAATGTCTCTTTTAAGAATTGTTTACTCAATGATTCTTTGGGGAACCAAAAATGGTTATTTAGTGTACAGCAGATTGTCAGCAAGCAATAAACCACAAATACATTAGAGTTCTTGCTGACTACATAACAGGAGCAACCTAAACGTGCGAAGATTTGGCCTCACGGGTGGGTAACAAAGAGCTATTGCATTCCAGCAGTGAGAGTGAGGTCAATTAAGCCATTTCCCCTCCAATTTATCTCCCCGCAGCACCTAGATCAATTGGACTGCAGCTGCAAGGGCCATGCGTGTCTGGGAAAATGAGAAGATTGAGGTAAACCTCGCCTGGCCCCTAGGAGAAAGACTGGCAAGATTGTCTTCATACCTGTTTCAGATGAATGGGAGTTTCAAGTCCGGCTGTCTTAAGGGTGTGTGTGTGTGTGTGTGTGTGTGAAGTTGGGATAAGGATGGGGTGTGGGGGTCAATACAGTATAGTTTTGTCATATTTTGTCATAATCCAGAACATGCCATCATATTTGCTAGCCTTGTAATATTTATTCTTCTGACTCTTCTCCACCTTCTCAAGTACAGAAATTATGCAATGAAAAACTATTAAACCGTGAAGCATTTTTTTAAAAGTGGAACTTTATATAATAAGCGTGTCAATACACTTTGAATCAGTTTCAGTAATTAAGAAATTTGTCTTTCTTTAAATGTCACATACATGTTTGACTGTGCTGGAAAGAATGATGAAGACTATAACTCGACGATGCAAAAACATTTATTTTAGAGTTTGCAGAAGGGATGCTGAATAATAATACCACAGATGGGCAAACTATCGACTATAAAGACAATTTTTGTAAATTCAATAATTTATTAATTGACCACAAATATTAAACTGGTGGCAATTACTTATAAATGCATTTCATTCATTTTATTTCATTAATTTCCATTTCATATCATGTAATTAATTCCATTCAAATTTGTAATAATGACAACTCTAATTTTAAAGATTATACTGAATTCAAGTATAAGATTAACATCTGTACAAATGCAAGATATCATCAGGCACTGACCTGAACTGACCACTGAATTTTACAAAATTCTATAAAAGTTTATACACATTTTATAAAATAACTGAAAGTTATTAACCCAGCTAACAATTTTGGTTACCAGAGCATTCCGAGAACGTTAAGCTGTGTCTGAAATCACCTAATGTCTAGTACATTTGTTTTGAAACTTACTTTGCGACCATTCAAAAAAAGTTTGTTTGATATAGTACGAATATGCAGTGTGAACGCTCTGATCCGTTAACATGGGCGCGGACAAAATACGCACCACAGAAGGAGTGTGTGAACCTATTTTATGACGATTTCGATTAATCGCACAGCCCTAGTTTGGTGTAGGGGATATTTCCAACACAACAGAGCATTAACTTTTAGCAACACTCCCCAGATATTTGAATTATGAACCACCGCAACACATACCTGAAGCAACGTAGTATAAACCGTGCCTATATCAACGTAACAAAAACGTATTGGACCCGCGTTTTAGCACCATTTAATGGATGTTTTACTTTGAAACTGCCTCTAAACGTGCAGTAAGGTACGTAATAACGGTGTATTTAGAGGCACATATTTCCAATGAGCCTGGGTTGATCTGAGCAGTCGTAAACATAGTTAGGAGTTTCATGAAAATGCACATGATGATCAAAATGATGTTGCATTTTTAAACCAACCTGAAAATATAAAGGTAAAGCCAGGGTAACAATTTCATTTTAGAAGTGAACTTTGAAATCTCACGTTTCTTTAGACGCTGTGGTCTGCAGACATTCAGCCATCTGGAGCATTTCCCCAAAGGCACTCTAGCCTTCCACTCCAAACCCAATTAGCCAAATCACATATCAAAAGTGCTTGAGTTTACCAGCCAATGGTCAAATCCTTCAGGTGTCAAAAAAGAAGGCTTAGACCTGGAGGAGAGAACCAGAGAGCAGAATGGAGTGGGATTAGAGTGAACAAAACGGCCACAGATATCCTCCAACACCTGTGCGGGTACTGTGGCCAGTGGAGAGTCTGCTAATGGGAAAAGCCTTTGGTCCAATTTGCAGGTGCTCAGAACCTAATCTCCCATCTCTTAGGATGGGCCGGGTATCTGTTTACCTCTGTACTAGTTCAACAGACTCAGTCTCACTTGATAGGCAGAAGACTTCCATCCACCCTTGCAGAATAATCTAGGTGATCAATCATTTAGATCAGTAATTAGGGCCTGGTGTCAAAACAGAAATGGAACATGAGCCTGGGGACTTGTGTGCAGCAGGTTGACATCAGACTTGGCAAGTGTTATGGGTGATGTGGGTCTGCGTGGGTGAGATTGAGGGGGGTGCACGTCTGAATGCCGAACTGTGGTCCAGAAGCCTGAGGTCAAGACATTCCACACAACTTGATCCATGTTTAAGAATACCATTTGTTCCGTGTCTTCCTATAGGCAATCGGGACAAAAGAACTAGAAGATCTATTAGTACTGCTAGATGAAATAGCAGTATCTCTTAGGCACGACTCCAGAGTAAAAGAATGACTAAGGTGCCACCGACTCTTAAAAGTCAACGTTTCCAAAGGGGGTTTTCGCAGCAATCCCATAGAAGAACCAATTCAGAACATTTCAGTCAACAGTTCTTAAAAGAAACACTTTTTCTTAGTGTAAAGTACATTTAAAAAAAAACTTTTCCACCTTTTCCAAGAACCTTTCATGCAGTGGATATGTTAAAGGTTCTTTATGGAACCATGCCAATAAAGAACCTTTATTTTTAAGAGTGTAATAAAAACATTTAGCAGTCATATGACTGTATTCAGTTGACATATTACAGAACTGCCCTATAAAAACGGTTGTTCCAATGCACTTTATTTTATAATATTGGTAACACTTAAGTTTATGGACCAATTCTATTAACTAGTTGTTTATTAGAATACATATTATTGGCATATTGGCTGTTAATTAGTACTTATAAAGCACATAATAATGCCTAATTTTGCATGACCATATTATAGATTTCTTAATCCTACTCAATATCTAAACTTAACAACTACCTTACTAACTATTAATAAACAGCAAATTAGGAGTTTATCGAGGCAAAAATCGCAGTAGTTAATGGTTAGTTGATAGTACGAATTTTCCCCCAAAACTAAAGTGTGACCATAATATTTTTAAATAATGTTTTTTTCCCCCCAGATTTGTAGTTGTGAACTCAGTAATGGCTTTGAATGATTCACCGACAAAGTCTGATTCAACCTGACGCAAGCACTGTTTCATGAATTGTTTTGATTGACTCTTTTAAAAATAATAATTTTTCATGAATCAAACATCACTCAGTGTTTGTTGTCATTTGCAGGAAACACTGGCAATGATCACCAAGTTTTTCTGAGGTTTGCTAAATATAACTGTGGCAAATTTGCATGTTTTGTTGAATTTGTAACAATTTTTATTCATAGTCTGGAATCCTGTGTCTTTTTTTTTGGGAGAAATATTTACAGATGGTAACCAGTTATAGAATTGAATGGAATCCAACTTCAAAATCTGAAAAGTAAGCAACTGGAGGAAAAAACAAAGTAGCAAAAAGAAACAATGAGCCACAAATGTGAGGCTATGCGGAAATTTAGGATGACTTATGCAGAAATAAGTATAACACACACACACACACACACACACACACACACACAGAATCATAAATTGAGGCAAATCTCAACACTAGATTTTTAATTATTGTGGCAAAATTTATGTTTTGTTGAATTTGGAACCTTTTTTTTTTATTTAGTCTGAAGCCCTGTTAGGTGTTTTTTTTTTTTTTTTTACAATATTGAGTGATGGTAATGGAATTATAGAACTGAAAAAAAACCCTTAAAAATATTAAAAGTTACTGAGCTTTTGAGGAAAGAAAAAAATTGAAAAATAAATGACTAACCACCAATGTGAAGCAATGCATACCCAAAAATGAAACTAATGGAAATGATAGAAAATACGTTTTTAAAAAGCCAAGTAGGGCAGGGACTTGGTTTTGTCCATCCGCTAAGATGTTTTGCCACCTGAAAATGGAGGCAAACCTCAATGCAAGCCCACAGTTAACTGCAAATGTACCTAGATATTGAGTGCAGATTTGCAAGTATTGTGGCAAATTTGTATGCTGAATAAACTCTAACTTCAAGATGTAAAAAGCTACTGAGTAACTGGAGAAAACAAGGGTAAAAATAAAACAATGAGCAACCAATATGAAGCCATGCAGGCTTAAAAATAAATTACAGAAAATGAAAAGTTTAAAAAAATCTATTCTGAAGTTGGAAGTTCAGCTGATTGAAGTTTATTACCCGTGGGAACAACGTAAACTCTGTTCTTACATTAATAACTCCACAGCCTGAGGAATTGTAGGTGTTTCACTTTAACCTTTCACTCTAAATACCAGTCCTATAGCCCAAGGGAGGGCAAGTATTTAAAAGTCTGTCTCAGAATGTAGAGTTTCTCAGCCGAACTAACAGGCCACGCTTTGAAGGTGGGCCAGAGCCATCGACTGGTCCAGTAATGAATTAGTCCATTGGAGGAGGCTGTGCATGGGTGGGGCAGCAGATCAAAGCATGTTTCTCTTATTGCCTGCACCTCAGGTGAAGTTGAGGCATGCAGCCAGTTGGGGTGATACACTGTCCCTCACATCACCAGGAATGCAGAGAACTTCGTATCCCTCTAGAGTCGGGTTTCACGGTGAATGCTATAGATATGATTACATGCATGCGCTGAGATCAGTCATTATGAAAAATGGCTGCGGTCAAAATACACATTAAGCTACTGTAATAAAGAAAGGATTCTTTAATTCGGAGAGGATTGGCTTGGTCATTCTTTGGAATTAAAAATTATTATATAGAATTATATAATAATACAACATCTATAGTATTAAAGTAACATCTTACAACTAAAAGCTAGTATCTGAATGCTAGGTAATGATTGCTTTTAAGTGTGATTGCATTAGAAATCCTACCATACAAAAAATAAGTTGCCCACAATTGCACAGTGGTTGCAATGAAATGAAGGATTTTTTTCTTCTGAGTTGTGACGTACTGTAACAGATTATCGAAAAAGGAGAACAAAAAATTATGACGAGAACTTAGTTCTGTCCGTTGGTTAAGATAGCCATCGCACTCATAAATAGTTGCAAATCTGAAAGCTTGCAGTTGATTGCAACAAAGTGGCAAAAACTGTAATAAATGAAACAAAAGCATGGATGAATTATTCACAATAAATAACATGCATTGAGTGAATTTTCATTTCATGCTGACTTTTTTTAAAAAACGGCTTAATACACAAGTGTACAATTATTCAAAATTAAAGTATGTTTATAATGTTGTTTTCTGTTCTGATTTGGACACAATGTTAAAAAAATAATCCTGACTGTATTAATGTGAGAGCTTTTTAAAGCATCATATATGAAAAAAAGAAAACCAAGCCTCCATTTGCCATAACTGGACATATTGCAGTGTGAATGAGAGGTCGCATAGATTTCTATTTTATTTATGTTATTGATTTAAAAAGTGTTTTTTAAGGTTGTTGTTTGCAATGTTTTCACATTTAGTCTGATGTTGCAAATAAAGCCCGGGCTTCATAAACCGGGAATGTATCTAGTGTTGTATTGAATAATCATAGTATAGACTTGTAAAATGCACAATTTCAGCCATTCAAATTCAATCATCCTGTCTTCATCAAGGACACATTGAAGCTATGCTAATAGTTTTTGGTCATAAACATGGCCTAAAACCCACAAAACTTTAAACTCCAAATATTAAAAAATTGAAGTTCCCTATTTTTCTTTATATGCAATGTAAGAAACAAAATACAAATAACATCCTATTTTCTTACTTATCCCTCCACGGGACCTCACTTATGAGACTCAGTTAGAGATGATCTCCTTTGGACTCTAATTTTGACCAGAATAAGCAAAACCTTTTTGGTGCCACCTTAGCCATATGAAGGGATTTGGACTGAGGAATTATGCCAATATTCAGTTGACTGTATAATTCGTTTAGCTAAACCAAAATCTGCCGAACATAATTTGGTGTGCTTCGTCATTGCCTGCCAATCACCAGCTTTCAGTGGGTAAAGATAAAGCACTCATTCGGAATAATAGCTCCTCAAACGTGCACTGGGATATGATCCTAGTCAACAAAAAGCACTGTGAGAAAATCCACTAAATAGCGCAGAGGCTCTCCTGAGAACACCCACTGTATGAAACAAACATCAGAACACATACAGAAGAGCCACTGAGACCTCATCTCGCTGAGCTGGATTACTTTCCTGTGGGAACAAGTCGTTAAAGATCCATATTTGCCGGTCTCAATAGTTGCGTTGTATTTACTGTGCAACCACCGAGTGTTAATGCCATAATCGCACAGCTCTGCTGTTTGTCAGACAAAGTGGGCTGTCCCTTAAAGAGCTCGGCGATACAAGCAATGCAAACTGGGATATGTTTACATCATTCCAACACCTGTTTTTCCCACAAGTTCTTGTGAATGGTCTCTCTGTGATGCTGACTGGGGAAACTTGTGAGACAAATGATCTTGGGTTGTGGGACCTGTTGTTATCTGTTCCTCTTGAGTCAACACAATTATTTGTGGTAGATCAAGAAATCATTATCGCACACAATAGTGCGCTTAATTCATAAACATAACCTCATTGGTTTAGCATGGAGGAACAGAAGCCAGCACATTTCCTGTAATAGAAATGTTGGAGAGTTCGGATTATAGATCTAATGATTTATATTCATAAGAAAGGAAGTTGTCTTTCATTATCTTTGGCAATAACCAAATCCTGAACGTCTGAAGATGTGAGGAATGTGGCTAGACTTTGTGGCTTTTGATTAGCCTTAATGATCTACCAAGAGGGAAGATCTGATGAGATCGCAAAAAGATGTGGTGGAGACGATGAGAGAGAGTAAGCCACAAACCACAAACAAGACTAATGAGATAATACGTTTGCTAGCTAACAAGGTACCTGAGTACTCTTCAGATTGAAGAGAAAAAGCGTGAAGAAAATCCCCAGGGTGACATTTAAAAAAAATGATGGACAGCCGCAAACTGCCAAATCATCAAGCAAGACGCTGATTTAAACTTTGGACAGAGAAAAACGAAGAAAAATGTGCATCTACTGTACCTTACATTTTTGGAAAACTCCAGGAAAGTACCTATACAGAAAATATTCACTGCAGTTTCCAGCTGAAATGAACATTAGTGGCAGTAAAACCCTAAAAATTAAACAAATTATGATTATGGGACAGATTTTGGATTAATAAACACTTATTTTTGCACAGTTCCTTGCACAATACGATGTTATGAGCTCAAAACACTTACAGTGTGTTCACACCAGACGCAAATGTAATTATTCGCGGGAGTAGATTACATACAAAGTCAACGCAAAGACGCAAATAGAGGTGAATTCGTGCCGGGCGACGCGAAATGCGCGACGCGTTTGTCGCGAACGCACGATATTTGCCTCAATCGCGTCTTCCGCGCAAGTTCAAAATTTTCAACTCGAGCGAAAATTCGCATGACGCGTTCTCGCGCAAGCCAATCAGCGAAGAGTTTCTTGACACATCCAATTGAATCAGACAATAGAAGAGAGCATTATTGTAGCCGCTGTTATTATATAGGTCGGGAGAATAGAAAACAATTAAAATCAGTTGTAGTGGTAGTTGCATTTTATTAGCATGGCTACAGAGATGCTGCTATCAATAAAATAATAGTAATATCAGTGTATACAGTAGTAAAATGTAACACACACATTAATACAGGATCTTAACGTTACTCATCCTCCTCTGGATGGTGCTGTGAACGCAGACACGTCGGCGTTTGGCTTTCCATTGTAGTTGGAACTTTTTGACAACAGGTACAAAACAGCGATTGTAGTTATCTCCACCATGGTTGATCGTGCTGTTTTTATTCGCGCGAGTGACACGAAAAACATCCCACAAGTAATGTAGAGCGAGTGACACGATGCGCATATTCGCTTCGAGTCTGGTGTGAACACACCATTAGTGTGTTATGTGTAAGCCAGGTTAAAGAGATGGGTCTTTATCTTTAGACTTTGTGGCTTTTGATTAGCCTTAATGATCTACCAAGAGGGAAGATCTGATGAGATCGCAAAAAGATGTGGTGGAGACGATGAGAGAGAGTAAGCCACAAACCACAAACAAGACTAATGAGATAATACGTTTGCTAGCTAACAAGGTACCTGAGTACTCTTCAGATTGAAGAGAAAAAGCGTGAAGAAAATCCCCAGGGTGACATTTAAAAAAAATGATGGACAGCCGCAAACTGCCAAATCATCAAGCAAGACGCTGATTTAAACTTTGGACAGAGAAAAACGAAGAAAAATGTGCATCTACTGTACCTTACATTTTTGGAAAACTCCAGGAAAGTACCTATACAGAAAATATTCACTGCAGTTTCCAGCTGAAATGAACATTAGTGGCAGTAAAACCCTAAAAATTAAACAAATTATGATTATGGGACAGATTTTGGATTAATAAACACTTATTTTTGCACAGTTCCTTGCACAATACGATGTTATGAGCTCAAAACACTTACAGTGTGTTCACACCAGACGCAAATGTAATTATTCGCGGGAGTAGATTACATACAAAGTCAACGCAAAGACGCAAATAGAGGTGAATTCGTGCCGGGCGACGCGAAATGCGCGACGCGTTTGTCGCGAACGCACGATATTTGCCTCAATCGCGTCTTCCGCGCAAGTTCAAAATTTTCAACTCGAGCGAAAATTCGCATGACGCGTTCTCGCGCAAGCCAATCAGCGAAGAGTTTATTGACACGTCCAGTTGAATAAGACAATAGAAGAGAGCATTATTGCACTTATTATTAATGTATCCGGGTCATGCTCCCTCACAAGGTTTATTTATTTGTTTGTTAGTTTGCTTATATATTTATTTCTGTAAAATGGTCTTTTGTACAATCATCCACACATGCACATGATAACATAACTTCAATAAAGTAACAGGATAGTTAACAATTACTTGTTTACATAGGATATATAATGTATTTTATATTATTTAGGCACTTACAGGATACAGTTTGTCAAAATATTCTAATTCAATATGCCATGGGAAGTCAATCTAACTTACCATTTTCTTGTATTGATATTATTTATTTCTTACTCCTTAACAGTTCATCAGGCTCTTAATGATTTAATCTATGCCATCTCTTGGAATAACCAAAGGCCAGGATTTTCATCACTCATTATTAGAACCCATTTTACACATGGCTCTCGATTCTGACTTGTACTCTCTTAACTGTAGCATTTGTTATAATAAGGCTATCTTACTAATCCTTACCAGGCCAATACTGACTTTTTTTAAAAATCTATATAGCATTTTTTATGAAAACAACAGCCTGCACATTTAGAAACAATACCTACAACATGCTACAGTTGTGATATAAATCTACAGAGAAAAATCTATTCCCCTAACAGATGATCTATTATAAATTCTACAACAAGTTAGACAAAGTTTACCACCTACAATAAAACATAATAATGTTATTAGCCTACAATAAAATGTGATGAATTATAGTTAAGGTGGTCATGAGCAAAACATTTTAACATTTTAATAAATGTCAGTGCTGGTGCAAGATTATGTTTTCTCCTCTTTCATCAGTCTTTTTAATTTATGTGCCTTTTTTAGATAATGTTCGACTTTCTCCATAGCAT